TTTGCCAAAAATTGGGATTATTTTTAAATATTTCGTTTATTACCTGCATTTGTATATTCTTAAAAAAAAATCATTTAATATTTTTAATTTATGGATATTCCAAACCTACTGAAACGAGATAATCTTACAACTACTGAAGCTATAGAAATAATATAGAATTCAAAAATATTAGTACATGATTGTCAAGCTAATAACTTCCTAAAGGTAGCTAAGATATTAAATATAATAATTAAATTAAAATAGATAGCTATATTATCTTCCTAAATCTAGCTTCTAACTAACCATATTAGTAACTAACAAGATCTTTTCATAAGAAAATTATAAAAATTCAGCATGTAACCCCTTAAGTTCCTATAGAGCCCTCAGATAAGAGTCGGATCTCTCCACTTTCTTCTGCCGAATATTTTGTGGCTCATCTTAAAGCCCAACTATTTGGCTAAAGAAGTCATTCAAGTCGAAAGTTTATCGCGTCGCCTGGCATATTTTCCAAAGAAGTCGGAGATGGTCGAGGGGGTGGAGGAAAAATGTTGACGGTATCATAAAATCGCGCCTCGTAGAACAATGGCGACAACGTCAGAAGCCAGAATCCAGAATCCAGTAGACGGAACAACAAATTTTATTACCCAGTGGCTACCAGTCACCAGTCGGCGGAAACATGAAGGTCCTGGATGTCGGCGAGTAGCGAGAACTTTGGGGTACAATTGAATTGAAAAAGCATAAAGGTTTATGAGCGTGTAAGCCTTTGCCGCTTTTCCCTGTGAAGGTCATGGTGGGTGGTGGGCGGAACCTCCTCCCAAAACCGAAAACCTAAAACCGAAAACCTTCTTGTAAGTGGGTGCTTGTGTGATGTTATAGGCGGCATTACGTTAACCTTTATGGCGGCAACACTGAAATGGTGAAAGTTTTATGATTCCGATTAGAGATTAGAGAACGAGGCGGGTTTATAGTTGAAAGGGGGTATTTAATTAGCGGGATTTGAGGTAGGGGGTGTATCTAAAAACAAGACTTCTTGAGAAAAAACTTCTCTTACCAGAAAGTTCTGGTAATTTAAAAGTTCCAAATTTAAAAATAAAAAAATCTTCTTGTAGAGGGAGTGTGAGGCGGGCGACCTTTTTGTGGCCTTTGCACGTTTGATGGCTTTTATTTGTCTTTTTTTTTTTATTGAAATTTATTGTTTGATTTACATGAGTTTAAGTGACAGGCCCACAGAAACCCCAAGCCACCCAGCACCCACCCAACCACCCACCACACACACACATGCCGAGAGGCGGGTGCGAATGCCTGCCTGCCAATGTGCGAATTTTGGTATTTGCCTTTTTGGCCATAAATCACATTCGAAAAGCCCCGGCATAAAAGTTGCAAATTAGGCTCAAATGTTGACATGGCGATTAATCAAAGGAGTGCAAGGCGCAAATGCAGCAACTAATTCGATAAGCGAGCCAGCTCCGGTTAACAGGAAGAGAGGGGGCTTATTAGCGATAGAGCAGGGGGGTGTTGGGTGGTAGTCTACAGGCCAAGGGCCATCCGAAAGTAGCCATGAATCATTCATAAGCGCCGTTTACACTCCCATAGACTCCAATTTGGGTTGATTAATGAGATGAAGTAGCTGCCTCACTACCTCTACCTCGGTCAGGGCCACTCCCCCTGGTGAACCGAGCCCCGACCACCACCTATTCAGGTCTTAAATCCTCTAGCATTTCTCTCAGTGTAGTCTCTGTGGGAATTTCTTTCTAATCGAGTCACTGGTCATAAGGATAATGGCCAGCTAGGCGAACAAAAAAAAAAACTAAAAATCACCAAAGATAATCCCTTTGGAATGCCCCAGGGACTGGCTTGCATGGAATTCCCCTACCCCCTCTCCACCTCTCTTGACCTCCACAAATTAAAAGTAAAAAGGTCATAAATTCCTAGCGGGACTGTGGGGATCCGATATGGCGGGGGACGGAGGCGGGTTATTTGAATGTGTACGCTGCGGACGGTGGTGGCATGAATGGCATAAATAATAAACCTGCCACATACTTCTTGCCACAAACACACACACATGTACACACACTCACACAGACAGCATTTTGATGATTTCCAGCTGGTCCCTCGTGTCGTATGCGTAATATTTGTTTAATATTAACTCGCCTGCATGCCACCATGCCACCCATGCCAACCAGGCCACCCATGCCACGCCTATTTGGCCCGCAGTCACGCCTGAATGATCCACAACGTTTCCTACGCAATATCCTTTCTCTCCTGGCTCTGCTATTCTCGCATCCTGGCATTGTTTTTAAAGCCGCTTGGGCGGCAACAGTCTTTCGGATCAATAAGTTTAATGTGTTGCCTTTGGAAAGTTTAAGATGCCAGCCGCCATCGCCACCGCCGACGCACGACGAGTTTGCTGGAAAAATAAATAGACGAGTTTTCCAGAAAACGAAAATGGAGGGGAAATTAAACAAAAGAAGCCATTGTGCCCTTTGGCTGATTAAACCGAAAACTTGTACTTGACGATGAGATTTTAGAATGCCAGGATGCTAGGATATTACATTATTCAGAGGAAGACTTGGAGTTCATAGTAAAGGCCCACCTAGAAATGAATGTCTTTTTTTTCTGGCCAACAAGTTGGTGAGAAACTTTTACGGATTATCCGCGGAGGCCAGACTTCAAGGAGTTGGAGGATAAGAAGGAGGTCCTGGCAGGTTCACATTCGGTTAACCAAGTATCCAGAGAGATCAAATCTCTGTGGCAAATGGGGCACGTAGAAAGCGGCGCATAAAGAACTTCAAATGGAGATTGAGAGATACGAGCACGTTGCATAAGGAAATGGGGCATAGACCCCCAAAGACCTCACACCCATCACCCCCAACGCCCCCAAAACCCCACGCCCATTTTCCAAGTACATAACTTTCACTAACCTTTGGCGGCGTTTCTTTTTGCCAAGAGACCACATTACCGTTAGCAGACTATAGTAACTGCACTTTCAGAGCAAGCACAGACAAGCATAGACAAGCACAAACACGCACACACTTGCACACAGGCTCGAACTGACGAAAGTTGTTGAAGAAGCGGAAGCGCTAAGGCAGCCATTTTGCTGTTTTTCCCCCGAAAATGGCCAAAGGGGGCGGGGCACTCAGGACACTACCAGCACTAACCAGAGAAGAGAAAAAGGCGTCTGCCAAGAAATCCCTATTTATTAGCATTGAATGGCAAAACAGAGCACTAGAAGAAGAGAGAAGAGAGAAGAGGCTCTAACCGAAAATGGGAAAATACTAAATGTTTTCTCGGCCCCGAAATGGAATTGTACAAAACAGGATATACAGTATATGTTATAGATACTCGTTTAAGTGCTAGAATTCCATTAGATTCCCATCAAGAGTTGCATTTGAAAGACTCCTTAAAAAGATTACTCATACGCCATGTATAACAGGTGTGGAAGAGAGCTTCTCGTTAGTGGCTTCTTCTTTTTAAGGCTTAGTTTTGTTAATTAAATACATTTTTGTTTATAAAATAAAGGTAAAAATAAACAAGTAACTAAAGTCTGTTTCTAAAGCTACAAAATATTTCATTTAAAACACACTTCAAGCATATTACTCATACGCCATGTATAATATTGCTGTTTTTTGGTCTTACTGAAGGCTTCTTCTTTGTAAGACACCTTTTGTTTCTAAAACTAACTTGAAATAAAGTAAAAAACTAACAAGTTACTCCTTAAGCTACAAGATATATTGTTAAATACAAGACTCTCCAAATATTACGTATACGCCCTATATAACAGATATGGTAGGTCGGTCTTCTTTTTAGGACTTCCTAAAACTAACTCTCCAGGTTTCCGCTTTATAAGACTTGTTAAAGACCCATTTTTTCTAAAAATAACACAAAATAAATATAAAATTATATAAATATTACGTATACGCCATGTATTAAAAATGTGTTAGAACCTCTGTGGCAACTCTAAAGAGGCTTGTAGTAGAGGCTTCTTCTTTGTAGGACTTGTTTAAGACCCTTTGTTTCTGAAAATAACACAAAATTAACTTAAAAATGGAAAAAATATATGAATATTACGTATACGCCATGTATCACAAGTGTGTTAGACCCTAATCCCTCCATCTTAGAACCTTCTTCTTTGTCTTCTTTTTCTTTATTTTAAACACAACTACCTTTGCTTCCAAAATCTCACAAAAATTAAGCTTTAAAATCAAGAATTCCTTCAAAATATTAATCATACGCCCCGTTGTCGAAACAATAATTCAAATAAATCTTCAAGAATTCAAGATTAAATTCAACTTTTTAATATAAACTCAGTCCGAAGCCAACTATGTTAGAACTTTTTAGTTTCGGTCTCACTGGGCCAACGAGATTTCAATCAATGTCCTTGAACTAATGACACAATTTGTTGGTATACTGCCCTGTCTCTGTCTATTTTATGCCTTTGTTACTCTCTCTCTTGCTTGGATGGCAGGGCATTGCATTTATTTTGGTTCACTTTTTGCCTTGCTGGGCACTGTGCTGCTATGCTGCTCTGCTGCTCGAAAGTCAGAAATTGTTTTACGATGAATAAGAAAGTAAACAAACGTGTAAATGTCAAACACACGCACACACATGCACTCACCCAGGGTTGTTCTTTTTTTGCTCCCCAAGGTATGGGGGTATGGGGTTCAATTCTCCTTTCTGTGTTTTGTGAGAGGGTGCTCGGCAGCGGCGGGGGAGTACATACAAACATATATGGCTAGTAGAAACGCTTCTTTGGTTACGCAGCAGGAAAGAAAACAATTTAACGGAACGGTAGATAAACTTTTCTTAAACAGGCTCGGGACGACTCGGAACGAGTGTCCTTAGACCTCTGTGGCTCTGCAGCTCTATATGTGTGTGTGTTTTTTTTCTTTTTTACATTTATTGTTGTTGTTGGGGCTTAACGAGAATGAGCTTTCAAAATGCTTTATGCGCCATTTTGTGTTTCTTGGCTGTATGGAATGAAAAACTCATCCGCTTCTTTCGCTCTCTCTTCTTATCCACAGAACCCGTCACCGAGGTCATCGGCGGACCAGAGCTGCACATCAACCGCGGCTCCACCATCAACTTGACTTGCATTGTGAAGTTCGCCCCGGAGCCACCACCCACCGTCACCTGGTCGCACAATCGAGAGGTAAGTCTGCCCATGCCATCCTTTATCCTCTCCATTCTCCACCTAACGGACCATAAAAATTCCACTGCATAAACACACCGACAAAAATACCAAAAATACACTTGACATGTACGCGACGACGACGTCTCTGTCCGGGGCTCCTCTTCAAATATTTTTATATGTCCTTGTTATAAAAGACGCATTCCGGCCGTACAAGTATCCATAAAAAAACGCTCGGAAGCAGCACCAATAATTACGTTTTACAAGGGCTCGGAATTATTTTTACGATAATTAGCATTTGGTCCTTCGAGAAGATCCCAGATCATGTCGCGACATAAATTTATGAAGCCTGAAGGTCAGGCTTTAATGAATTAAGATTATAATTCAATATAAAAGATTTTCTAGAACTCTTCTTTAGATCTTTGTCCTTTATTTCCCAAAATTTGAATTTTTGGTCCTTCGAGACAATCTCAGATCATGTAAGGACATGAAACTGTGCAATATTTTCAAGTTTTTCTAGTAGATTATTTTTCCAAGCTAGGCTTTGCCCTTGATTTATGATAAGAATTCATAGAATATAAACCAGGACTCCACGTTTAAGCTTTGTCCTTTATTCCTAATAATTAGCATTTGGTCCTTCGAGACAATCATGCTAGTACCTTAGATTATGAAACCCAAACGATATAGCAATGAAATATTTGCAAATATTATTTAAAGATTCCCTGAATTAAGATTAATATTTAATAGAAATATCTCCCAAGACTCTTATACTTTCTTGCTCATAATTTGGTCCTTCGATCCGATCATGTCAGGACATGAATTTGTGCAACCAAAGTGTCATTCAAATGAAATATTTTGCAAGTTTTTCTGAAAGGCTCTTAGGCACAGACCACCAGACCTGTCTCTGCCGATGAATTATGATTAGAATTCATTAGAAAGCTTCCCCCAGGACTGGGACTCTTCCCTTAAGCTTCATCCTTTATTCAAACAAAGAGAATCTCTGGCCAGGTATGCCATTCTCGGACAGCCGCAATCTCACTGGCACGAACTCATTTACTTTATGATTGCCCAGGATTCTTTTTTGTGAGAAGAAGAAACTTTGCTGCCATGGCTGATGGCTTTTTTTTTTACATACCTATGTATATATAGAGATCCTGGACGGAGGAGAGATTGAGGTGGGATTCTGTGGCCAAATAAGAAATTTCCCTGGCAGAGCACTAAGCTCGACCACCCTGGCTTGACTAACACGATGTCATTAATAAAAATTTAACTAACATGCCCGGCTACATCCCTGGAAAGGAACCCAGAACGGGACAGGACAGTTACAGTTACTGTGTACAGGACTGGACAGAAATGGCATCCATGCCCACAACAACCGAAATGTAACAATCTAGCCAAAAAGGAGACCCCTCCCCCCCCTATTCCGAAAAAGTTGTGTCCTGGCACTAAGCTGTTTGTTTCCTTCCCCCTTCCCCATTCACCCTATGCCTGCCTGTGGGTGTTATTCATTTCAGGTCATAAATTTCGATTCACCTCGCGGCGGTATATCATTAGTCACCGAGAAAGGTGTGTTGACCACCAGCCGGCTTCTGGTGCAGAAGGCCATCTCGCAGGACTCGGGACTCTACACATGCACCCCCTCCAACGCCAATCCGACTACGGTGCGCGTGCATATCGTCGATGGTGAGTAGCCCGGTATGCAAAACGCTTTGCCTTACCTAAATATGAGTGTTGTATGTACAAAGAGGAGAGGGGTAGGGAAGGTGAAGGGCAGTTCTTATACACGGCAAGAAAATTTACATAGGTGATGGGAAATTGAATATTCACTTAACTTAAAAAATCTAAAATCTTAATCTAAAAATTTTAAAAGCAGACTTGAACTAATTTTTAAAAAGAAATATGTAGATTTCAAAAACCATATTAAAAAAAGCGATTTAAAAATATATAATTTTATTAAATAACTTTTAGTGAAAAGAAGTCACAAACTTGTTACTAATTTTATCAAAAATTTGCTAATTTTTTTATAAAATTAAGATAAAAATTAGTTTTTAAATGGCAAAATTTCCCAGAGTTAAGATCTGGGAGTCTCTAGGATCTCTATCTTTTATTAAAATCGCTATTTAAATCTAAAAATTTGCATAAAAATATTTTAAATTTAAAGAAGACGCTTACTAATTTTAATTAAGTAAATTTATTTTTTGAAAAAAGTAAAGTTAGTAAAAGCTAGTCTTCAGAAACCATATTTTCAAGTATTAGAAATACTATATACCCCCATATATTTTCCCAAGTGTAGCAGCTTAACTAAAGCAGGGAAAGAAGAGAGGGGGGGGTAAAGAGAAAAGCAAAGCGGGGGCGGATGGCTCTGGCTCTGGCTCTGGGGTGGACCAGAACAGCAAGACAAATGTGCGGCGCCCAAAAGTCAACTAAGCTTGTTTGGCTTTATTTGACAGACGAGCGCGTCCAGTGATTGACGATAACTTTTTCTAAAAGCTCACAGGGCAGCTGAAAGTGGGTGGAAATTGTGGGGTGGTGGAATGGTGGGATGGGGAAAAGTGCCGTTGAAAGTGATGGGGAAAAGTGCTGGGAAAAGTGAGCCGAGCCGAGCATATGAAAATGAAAGAGAATGGCTCTCAGCAGAAATTAGCCAACAACTTTTTCATACATCTAGTTTTTTTAATTTAAAGATGATTTGTTTTCAAAGATAAAAGAATTAGATTTTAGAAATTTTTTTTTTAATAAATTCTCCCCTTTTCCCAAGAGCTCTGAGGAGAGAAATCTTTTGGCAAAAAAAAAATAAAGTGAGAATGTATGAATACTTGGCTGGCTCTTGAAAGTTTGCTGGATTTTGGCGTTCTATTTGTTGGCCGGGGTATTAGCCAATATCTCAAATATACTCTCACACACTCACTGCCACACGGAGAAAGTCAAAGAAAATTAGTTGAGGAAACTTTTGGCATCAACATTTGCGCAAGTTTTGACTCGTTTATGCCGCAGACGCCAAGCTCCAAGCTCACAGCTCCCAGATCCAAGTTGGAGGATTCAGGATTCCCCTTCTTTTTTTTTGTAACCCCCATCCTACTCTACTACTGCTTTGGGGCATCATCCGCTTCTGGGCCGACGTTCGCCGCTTCCGCTGAGGCCGGAAAAAAGCGCTTACAAAGCAAAAAGTTTAACAACTTGAGCGCAAATGACTTTGGCGTGTAAGCGGCACGCTACAACAAATACGCCATGGAATTAGACTAAAATAACAACAACACTGTACAGGAATAGGGTAGTAGGTAGAAGGGGCGGGGTCTATAGCTGACACTGTGTAGTATGTAAGTAAGAAGAGTGTCTAAGAAGCAACGGCAACTTGTTAAGTGGAACAACTGCTGAAACTTAAGTAATTAACACAAGTTGTTTGCGCTCAGCGTTGCGGCCAAAAGCACCGCAGGGCTGGCAGGCAGGCGGGAGCAGAGCAGAGCAGGAGCAGAGCCGAGCAGGAGTTGGCACGGAAGGGGCACTACTACTGCCAGCGGGATACCATTCCTTCCCTCTGGCGCACTCTAGTAGTTTATTTAATAAAAATATCTCACTGGCAACCGCTGCGGCATGAGCAGCGAAATTGAAATCGACACAAAGGCGTTCAAATGCCGGCAAATAAAGAGATCGCCCTGTCGCGTCGGTGGGCGGTATATCCCCCTAGGCGCTGTGGAGCCCCTTTGAGCGGCCAAGCATACCTAAGACGCTAAATGAGCTTTCAAATGAACGAAAACGAAATCAGAAACACTACACAGGCACAAGTACAAGATTGGCTTTAGTTTCCTTCAAATGAGTGTCTTATTTTAGGTAGGGACTTCTTTCTAGTAAGGGACATCCTTTCATTGGGGATCAGGAAATCTATAAAGATATAGCTTCTATAAGGCAGACCATAGGTTGGCGATCATAGGCTCCCTAAGCCTATAAGTCAACAATTGTGGTAGAATTTCAATGATAATTTAAGTATAGGGTGTATTTTCTTGATGGAATTTTCGTAATTATTAATTATAGACATGGCATGGAAATGGCAGGGTATGCATAAGACATGTAAGGACTTTCATAGAACTGTGTAGATCTGTATAGACATGAAAAGCAAGGTTAAGACATGCACAGACCTGTATAGAAATTCATAAGAAATGTTCAGACATGCATAAGACATAAATAGAAATGTTTAGACATGCTTGAGACATGAAGAGACATGCATAGATCTGTCCAGACTTGCGTGGACATGTAAAGATTTGTATAACTACATATACACATGCATAGACATGTTTAGACTAGCACAGACTTGCATTCACCTTTAAAGACATGCTTACACATGCATAGATCTGTATAGCCTTGTTTAGACCTGTATAGACATGCATAGACATGTTAAAACCAGCATAGACCTGTACAGATATGCATAAACATGCATAAGTCATGCATAGATCTGTACAGACTTGCATAGACTTGCTTAGACCTGTATAGAGCTGTAAATACATGCATAGACTTGCATAGTCATGTTGTATATTCCTTAAAATCGTAATATTTCCAGCTATTCCTGTTGTTTAGTACTTTGTTTAACTTTTCCAGCCCAAAAGTATCTAGATACTCAAATAATAATCAGATAGAAAGTGTTTGGAAATCACTGGCGGATGCAGTCGGCATTGCATTTCATATTCTGAGCTGCGGCTGCCACAGGCCTGTTGTTATTGTCAGTGATTTGGAATTCATTCATGGTTTCCATTTTCACTCACAAAATCAGAGCCAGTCAAGAGGGAGAGTAGAGTATAGTTACTTGTGCAACCTCGACTGTTGCATTATTGATAATGGTGCTGCCTCGACTGACCTGCTAGAACAAAAGCCGCTTATACTTATGTATTTTGGCAGGCTGAGCAGGTTCTGTTTCTATTACTATTCCACTTTCGCTTCTATTTCTATTTCTATTTGGACTTGGCCATTTGAGGCGATCATTACACCTAGTCGGACAAAAGCCGTCGTCTCTGTGGCAGGACATCAAAGTCATTTTCATTAATTGAACTGCCCTGCCATGTCTCCAAGTCCAAGTTCGACCACTCGACCAGTCGAGCCATCCAACCACACACAATCCGACCCGCAATCCAATTAAGTGTACTTTCTATGGTTCTTTTATCTGCAAGTGCTTGCTTTTTAACGCACTCCAAGGACTCACTGCCGAAAGGACAACTCGTAGCCTGTCATAAGTGACACTGGCCACTGGACTCATGGCTCATTCCTCAAGCCCTTGGGGGCGAATCGAGGACGAGGATTCATTGTCTTGTGCCAGGACGTTTAATTATGTCAAACCGTATTAACAGAGGACACCCGGGCCATCCTGCTAGTCCTGGTCCTGGTCCTGCTCCCAGCCAGTAATTAGTGACGTCCGACTCTGCAGCAAGATATTGGCATTCGGCATGGAAAACTTTTCAAATGTCCAACTGCCACGTGCTGCAAAGAGTAGAGACGAGTCCTGGATATCCTGAATATACCTGAAGGATTACCTTTACCATTGGATATCATAAACAATAAAACACACAAAAGAACGCTGGATGACTAGCGCTTTTTAGGGCTTTATTGGCAGTGACAGGAACCCGGTCTGATAATCGGCATTCCAGTCGTGGTGAAAGTGCTACTTCCACCTACTAGTAGGTGTATTAGCAGCCTCCCTGCCTGCCTGCCATACACACACCCAAGCAGACACTTAAGTAACAGCTCATGATGGGCATCAACGAACTCGTAAAGGACGAACGATGCATGATAATTGAAGCGCCACAGCCAGTGTGCCAGGAACACTGTGTGTGTGTTGGAACTCCTCCTATTGGTGGCAGGAGGCACTGCCTCGACGACAGACTCCCGCGCATTTCATGCCCAAAATTTATGGCTCCCTATCTGCCATCTGTGCCCCTCGCAAAGTAGTTGGCCAGTTTTTGAATGCTGGCTCTTTTTTTTTTTTTTGTTTTTTTTTCGCCTTTTTCTTAGCCAGTCTTGGCGTTTTTATTGCCGGCAATTAAGTTAATAGGCAATAAAGCTTCTGGATTTGCCAGGCGGGCTTGGTTGCCAGCCAGTCAGCCAGCCAGCCACTGCCTTTTAGCTGGGAATGCAGATACAGATAAAACTACCAGATACTACATTTTCAAAGTTGCATACTTGTGTACTCCTTTAACGCCCCTTCTGCCGCCAAATCCATAGATCTTGAAGAGAAATCCAGAAAGCCATTTTAAAAATATTGACTTCCAAATGAACTCGTTTCCAAGCACTGGACACTATTTTGGGAGGCGATTGATGGACCTGGAGGTTGGATTTTAAATTAAAGGGTCTATTATTTTATGATTCTTCAATATTGGAGGTTTCTGGTGGGGGTAATACTTCATAATATTATTAATATGGATACTAATTAGTTACTTCCTAGTAATCTTCTCCACTTTTCTTTACCCTCTCATCCCATATCGTTGCACTTACAGCCGTACAATATGCGGTAGCGCCCCTAACACTAGAACGGTATAAAGTCTTCAAAGCTTAGCTTTCTTTGTAAGAATCTTCGGGAAAGATGTAAAAATATAATTCTTTGGTTGTCTCTTCCAAGTTAGCCTCTGTTTTGAAGGACACTTGATGAACCTCCAGGGTTGGATTTTAAATCAAAAGGTCTATTAGGGTCTTAGGGATACTGAGATTCTGCAAAAAAATGGCTAACGCCTCGTCTAAAAAAAACCCTATTCTGTTTTCTTTACTTCCTGAATTATACTCGAGCTCTATAACCATACAATATGCAGCAGCACCACCCGCCTTCTTTGGGTTCTACCTTCTGGGAATTATGTTTTTTTTTCTCGCTGTTTGTACCGCTGTCCCCCCTGACCCTTGAGGTCAACCTTTACTAACCCGGTGGCTTCTTCTTTATTTTTGCGCTTTCCCTTCAGGTGAACATCCGGCGGCGATGCATCATGGCAATTCTGGGGCCTTTCGACCGCCGGGCCTGGTGTGGCTGCTGCTCTTCATGTGCGGACTGCCGCTGCTCAGCCAGGCGGTGGCCCAGTGCCGGGGTCTCGCCCACGCCCTTGGACAGGCAGCGCCCCATCGACGCAGTACCGCCCACCAGCCATTCAAGGCCACCGCCAGCAAGGACAAGGACAAACAACGAAGCAACGAAGAGTCACGGAACAAGTCACTGGAACAGGATCTGGAGGAGGATCTAGAGGAGGATGTGGAGGAGCCACTGGCCGGGCGCCAGGTAGTCCAGGCGAGTACGTTTCGGGGCACATAGCTATTCGGTGGGGCGGGAACTGAAATCTCTGTCGAATTGCCAACTGGAATCACAAACTAGGTTCATAGTCTCGGTCGCTACACCCTTTCCCTTTTCTCTCTTGACCCACCCCCTCCAACCCCCAACTGGCCGCCTTCGGGCGGTGCAGGATGCAGGTCCTTTTATCATTAAATTAAGTAGCCAAAGGAGCAACCGGAACAGAGACACTTATCACATTTTTCTAAAAAAAAAAACAAACGAAAGATGGTGGTTAGGATTTTTTTTTTTAAGTGTGAATTCTAGTTGCACATGCATTTGAAGCATGTAAAAAATTAAAAATATAAAAAATAAAACTACAAAAAAAAAAAGAGAAAAACTCACACATACATAAACAGACCTTGTAAATACAAAAAAGACTACAGGAGATACTCTTCCATCTCTAGCTAAGCCCCCAGATTTCGAGTGTAATAATTCATCCAGTTCACAGTTGAGACTATCCTTTCGGTTCATTTTTGAGATACTTTTGAGATACTTTTCACGCAGCCAGCAGAACCACAAGAGAGACACAAGCAGACAGATTGAATTATGTATGTATCTATCGAGTACAAGGTTAAGTTATAGGTGTCTAATAATATTATAATTAATATATAATACCAACTAACAGAGAGAGCTACTTGCGATTTAAAGCAGGTCGAAGGTCGGCTAGGAGGTCGTCTAGGAGGAGAAGTGAATTTTTTTTTGTAACTAGCATAAGTTCAAGACTATAGTAAAATTTAAGGAGGAGGGCAGGGCGTCGCAACTTGTACATACATATAAGCAAATCAACATAATTAGTCCAGATAATTTTTTTTTTTTTTTTTTTATAACTGCTCCATATATCAGAAGATCAGAAGAATAATCTCTACCTATATATTGGACATTTCGATGTGTTTAGAGCTAAGCGATAAAAAAAAGATACAAGATACCAGTTACCAGATACTGATTATTGTTGTGTGTTTGAAACAGAGTCTTGACAGATGATATTGACAGAGAAAATAACCAACTATCCAGTAAAAGCATATTGCTAATAATTCAAACTCGAGTATTTAAGGTCTCTATCTATCTATCTCTCTCTCTCTCTCGATCTATCTATCTTTCTCTCTCTTGAAAAGCCCTCACTCTCTCACACACAGTTAGTAAATGTATCTTTAAGAGTCAGCAGATCCGCGATCCCACCCCGAAATGAAAAAAAAATAATAAAAGGGTCTAACCCTAATCCCCAAAAATAGTCCCCACATAACATATATCCCTCAATGTCCCTGGTATCCTGGTAAATCAAATAAATATTATAAACTCTTCAAACTAGTCATAATTATACATATATATATGTATGTATGTATGTATGTATTTAATGCTACACTTGGTCGGCATAATGCATAATGATCGAAAAATCAAGAGGTTATATTTTATGAATGTGATTACGAATAGAAAAATGAAAGAAAGTGGCTAGAGAGGAAACGGGAAGAAAGCATAAGAAATGATGCCCCCAAAAGAATAAAAAAAAAACCAAAAAGACCAAAAGATCAACGAGCAGACATAAGATTGTTGGATTGTTAGACAGCTCGCAGATATGAGGCTGCTTTCGCAGCTTAAGGATTCTTAAAGATTCTATAGAATCTCTACATAAAGATCCTCAAAACTCTTGGATTTATAATCTTAAGGGTGGATCTAAAGAGCTGCGATTCGCAATTAGTTAATGTACCTATTTGTAAATTTTTTTTTTTACAAATGATTGCTTTAATTTCCCTTCCATATATCCGTTCGCGTGCACTAGTCTAAGCCGGTTCATTCGACGTGAGTGTTTAAAAAAAAAATCTTAAAAATAGTAAAATTGAATAAAATTCAATATCAAACCAGAGGCAACCCAAACCGATGGTCCATTTCATCCAAAAAGATATATAAGTGTCAGATAGAAAAAGAAAAACTGCAAAGAACAAAAAAACGAAAAAGATACAAAAAAAAAAACAAAAACAATTTCTATGTATGTATAAAATAAGGTGAAAATAAAGTCCATGTTGCAGATGCTAAACCTATGACTATATAGAGTATTGTAATTTAATGAAAACCGATATAAATATGTAAATGATAAGCGATAATTAAAAATTTGTATGTTGACCCTATTATTATGTTCGTTTGGACACGTATTTTCGTTGAAATTCATTGTCAGTTTTTCTTTTTCTCTTTATTTTTTTTTTTATATATTATTTTCCTGATAGAGTTAATTAAAGGAAAAAAGTAAACAGAAAATTTGTCGCAAAGTGAAAAAAAAAAAAAAAAACATTTTTAAAGTAAATATGTTAAATACAATTTTAAGCATAAACAGTGGCGATAAATGCAAACAATTTTAATGTGGTTACAAAAAAAAACACAAAATGCAATGCAAAAAAAAAAAAAATACGAGACTCAATGAAAATAAATGTACGTTGCTCCAAATTGAAATGGAACACACTTTGAAATATTACCAATTCATAATAACTATATTTACGAAAATGGATAAGCGAAACAGAAACAGAAACCTACCATCAAGCGGAACAAGAACAAGAAAAAGAACAAGAATTATGGATTAAATTGCATAAGAGATTTAAGAGAAGAATTAACGAAAGAAAAAGGTGCAAGAAAAGTAAGCACCACCACCACACTACCACATCACACAAAAACATGGTGACACTTTCCACACACCCAAAACACACGCAGGACATGAACTGACATGAACAGACTCACTTTCAGGCAGCCAGGATGTTATGCAATTTGAACCAGAGATGAATTTGAACAGAGCGCTCAACACAAGAGCGATTCAAACAAAAAACCAAATATGAATTCAATAAAAGTGTAAAACAAAAATAAAACTCAAAACACTGCATTTTTATTTCAACAATTATGTCGTCACGTAAAGTGATACATTTTATGTGCATTTTGTGGTCATTTTAACGTCCAGCCCCTTCTTCATCCAAGATCAGTTGGGAAGGCCATTCAGTTGATATCCATCCCTGGAATATAAAAAAAAATATTATAAGAGTAAGGTATAAAACTAGTTATTTTTGAATTATCATTATTATTATGAAATATTTATTATAGTTTATAAGCATGATTACAACTTAACCTTATTATTCCCAATCATTTATATTTTTCTTGCTATTTATTTTTACATTTTTTTCTAGCTTTTAAAAATTTATAAATTTTTTTTATTAATTTTCTTTTGTTTTTTTTTTTATTACCAAGCTTTTAATCCGATGGATTATTTTGCGCCACACCCAATAGATAGAGTATAAACACATCATTTATGCACACCACACTTTTTTTGGCCAGCTGTTGATGAAGTGCAATTAAAACTACATGAGGTTCATGTTTGCTGGCTTTTTTCTGGCTGCATAAATAAAATGATGTCAACTAGGCAATTAAGGTCCAGGTGTTAAATTGCGACCCAATCGATTACTGGATTTCATCAAAGCGGAAAACAAATTATGACACGGCCGGAATTTAATTTGCGGAATAAAGGTGAGCCTCATAACTAACTAGTGACCTTATACCCTATATTACTCTTCCTGGGTCAATACTGTCCAATTCCATCGAGTTTAATCTCATCTCGTCGTTTGATTCGATCGCGATCTTATGGGGTTTACGATACGATACACGGCCGACAAGCTACGATCTCGGCATGCGATCTAGAACGCACTGTAGATGTACGATATACGGCATAAAATTAAATTTCGGTGATCTGCGGCTTAGGATCGACATTTTAAGGCGTAAGTAGTAAGAAGGTCCCGGAGTAGATCGCAAAAGAGGCGTGCGGTTTACGGCAAAGGATTACCACCTACAATCTACGATCTTATCAGGCGTGGAATGCGGGCTACGGGGTACACGCCGGCGTACGGGCAACGGGCTATGGGGTTCAACCTGCGGGCTACGACGTACGGGGTACGGAATACGGCCTACGGGCTACGACTTACGGGCTACAGGATACGGAATACGTCCTATGGGCTACGGTGTACAACGTTTGGGCTACGGGGTACAGCCCACGGGCTGCGACGTACAGCGTACGGGCTACGGGGTGCGGCCTACGGGCTACATAAATAAAGGCACTACCATTCCCCCTGAAACTGGATCTGAAAATACCTACCATGCCACATGACCACGACAAAGCTTTTTGAAATTCCACGTCCACATCGCTTCATTTTTCACTTTACGTCGTGAATATGTTTTGCAATTTCTTAAAAAATATTAAGTTCCCTTAAGTGAATAACAGTTTTATAATTTACTTCAGTTTATTTTCTTCAAAATTCACATTCTTACACTTTTTAAAGATTATTTACATTATTTTTGCTTTTTCAGGCCGTGAGTACCCGCAAACAAGGAATTTAAGCCTGGATGCATATAATCTGCTCGGTCTCCATTACCTGCAACAGGTTTACCTGTAAATAGTTTTTAAGAGGTTTTTTTTAGTTGTAAGATTCATTGTATTTAAAAAATGTAAAGGACCCGGACGCTGTTTTTTCTAAATTAAATTAGTGTGACCAGGTCTGCATAACAAAAAAGTATGACCGTATTTTCCGCTATCAACACCATTTTAAAAATTAAAAAAATATGGTCACACTTTTTTGTTATGTAGACCTGGTCACACTAATTTTGTATCTAAAAATACGGTCACACTAATTTTTTATCTAAAAAAATTAAAAATACGGTCATACTTTTTTGTTATGTAGACCTGGTCACACTAATTTTTTTATCTAAAAAATTAAAAATACGGTCATACCTTTTTGTTATGTAGACCTGGTCACACTATTTTTTTATCTAAAAAAATTAAAAATACGGTCATACTTTTTTGTTATGTAGACCTGGTCACACTAATTTTTATCTAAAAAAAAGTGAAAATACGGTCATACTTTTTTGTTATGTAGACCTGGTCACACTAATTTTTTGTCTAAAAAAATTAAAAATACGGTCATACTTTTTTGTTATGTAGACCTGGTCACACTAATTTTTATCTAAAAATACGGTCACACTAATAAAATACGGTCACACTAATTTTTATTCCATAAAAAGTAAAAATACGGTCATACTTTTTTGTTATGTAGACCTGGTCACACTAATTTTGTATCTAATAAAATACGGTCACACTAATAAAATACGGTCACACTAATTTTTATTCCATAAAAAGTAAAAATACGGTCATACTTTTTTGTTATGTAGACCTGGTCACACTAATTTTTTATCTAAAAAAAAGTGAAAATACGGTCATACTTTTTTGTTATGTAGACCTGGTCACACTAATTTTGTATCTAATAAAATACGGTCACACTAATTTTTATTCCATAAAAAGTAAAAATACGGTCATACTTTTTTGTTATGTAGACCTGGTCACACTAATTTTTTATCTATCAAAATACGGTCACACTACAAAATTTTAGTGTGCGGAAAATTTAGAGTGACCAGGTGTGCATAACAAAAAAGTGTGACCATATTTTTTTTAATTTTAAAATGAGGTTGATTGCGGAAAATACGGTCATACTTTTTTGTTATTCCGGAAATACTGGAAACGCATGAAAATAAAGGCTACGTACGGCCGCAGGCCGTATCCAGTATTCCGTAGCCCGTACGTCGTACCCCATAGCTGTAGGCTGTACCAGGCTGTGTCCTGTAAGTGGCATTTATTTGCATGCGGTAAAATGAAGATCGTAAGCCGCATATCGCAGGACGCAGATCAAAGGACATAAAGATATTGGAAGTAAATCGTAGATCGGACATTTCTATAATATTGTACGAAGATCGCGACTATATTGTACCTTGTATATAGCCACTGTATATCCTAGGTTGTAACGTGAGATTAAATGCGATGAGATTAACGATATCTTATTAAAAGATACATATGCGTTATCGTACGATCTCCACTATTAATGGAGATTTTATTCTACATCTTACTGATTTTCTTTCTTGTTTACCTAGGAAGCAGGCTTTTGGAAGAATGTAACATCGTGATTATAAGGAGGAACCCCCTTTGCCCGGTGTGGAAAGCTTCACGAGATAAATGACAGATCCATCTTAATCCATCCATCCTTCAAATCCATACCCAAATGAAGTGATACATCCTCTAGACAACTGTCTGAAGATCATTACTCGACAGTAATTTCAGACGCTGCTGTCTTTTGTGCTTTGTATTCTTTATATCTTTGTAATAAAATAAAAAAGCTATCCCCATCTTATTTGAAAATCTTTCCGTTTTTGGGTCTTGGGTAGTAAGTTTTTTTCCAGGAGTCTGGGTAAGTGTTTAAAAAAACGAGGAAGAAAATGACGTTAAATCGCGATGAATTGTTGCCGATTGGCAAACGCTTTGCTCGAAATCCGATTGTCCACTCCATTTTGATTTATTGTAATTAATTTTTAATTTACTAGACGGCTTCGATTGCCCTGGTGGCCGTCTCTTTCTGAGGTTTGCGGCTGTCTCTTCAGTTGCATTGCAACATTTTATTTGATTTCATTTCGCAATGTCAGCTTTCAGCTCTCAACCGGCATTACACAGCATTGCACTGTGTTGCTGTTGCTGTTGTTGGCCCATTGTGTGGGCATTCCCCGTATTTTTTATTTATTTAACTTCTTTTTATGCCGCACTTTTTCATATTGCATTGTTTTTTGTGTGTTTAAATTAATTTACATAATGCATGCAACTTTTGAATCATGGATCATGGATGTGGACATGGACATGGAGGAAAGTTGCCAGGCTGCAGGGCTTCTACTCCCAACTCCCAACTCCCTACTCCCTACTGCCAACGAAAAAATCGATGTAAATGCAAATGGTCGTAAATTTCGCCTCTGCCACGCCCCCTGTTGTCTCGGCGTATTAACTTAATTAGTTGAGCGTTATTTCTTTTCCTCCCACTTCTTTTTTTTATTTGCGAATTTAATCGCCATTTTATTAAATGTTTTTATAATGAGAACGAGAGAACCAGAGACCGACCGTGTGACTTTATGAAATATTAATAATAATATCCCCAGATCAATGATTGGACATGGCCGATTGAAATCGTTGTCATTGTCTGACAGTTTTCATTAAGGGCCTTAACGGAAGCGAACGGAGGCTAAAAGACTGGTCATCCGCCATGGCCCAAACAATGTCAGTAGAGACATCGGATAATGCCAGCCAGTCCCGGCTTTGTGCAGCCTTTTGATTGCATTCCGCGCGCAATGAGAGTCATCTGATTCCGGACCCGGACCCGGACCCCCAGCTCTCGGCGGACCAGTCCGGCGGAACTGGCAGATAAGTTAAGCCCGGATTGGATGCCGCAACCGGGGGCTTCCATCAAAAGACTTGCCCGAAAAACTTAATTGCGGTGGCATCTGGGAATGGCAAAGACAGAACTGATTTCCTGTCCAGCCAACGGGAGTAATTTCCTTAAAAGTTTGAATAACGAAATAGTCAAAGGACTATTTTATTAAAATCTATTCAAGTCTTGGGGGATATAAGAATTCTTTGTAATTCAAAACCAGTCCAAGTTTCTTTCTAACAGCTGCTATCAAAGCCACCACTCATGACCTTTCAGACTAAGGGTCTAACCCTGTACATCCTCCCACCTCTCTCTTAGGCATTCCATTGTCCATTTTTCATTGTTTTTTATATTATTTACACTCGTTTAATTTTTCGCATGCTCTCCTTACTCCTTACTGGACGCATTCAAGTGTTTTTAACAAATTTTACAACTTTTTAAGCGGGCCTAAGCGAGTAGGGCCACCTGCCACCCAGGCTCAGACCCATTCCAGCCATCACCCACTTTTACTGTCACCCCCTTTTTTTGGGTGGGTTTGGCCCAACAAGGACATTTGGCCTTGGCTTTCCAAAGCGGCGGCAGTGGCGGTGGCGGTGTTCTGCCAAGCATATTTGTTGGCCATAAATTAACACGCCGCTCGCCTGCTTAATCTTTTTATGGTTCGACCAGGCCACGCCCTCCACTAAAGCCTCACTAGGAGGCGGAGACGGGGGGGAGATGGCCTAAAATTTAATAATTTGCTCAACATTAACCACTTACCGGAATGTTGTTGTCCTTGAGCCTTGAGTTGTGTTGTCCTTGCTGTCCTTGTTGTTTCTATTTTTTTTTTTGCTCCTCATCCTGTTGGCTGCTAATTATAAGGGGATTATTTGCTTATCCCTCGAGGTCGAAGGTGGGCGGCATAAATTGACGGTTGAGGGGCGGGAGGCGGAGGCGGTGGCGGAGGTTCGTCCTTTCTATTGTCCGTCTTGGCTGTAAATTAGAAGCCCACTCCACCGTCCCCCGTCCGCCATAAATTCTCAATAAAAAGGTGTAATAAGCGTTTGTTCCGCTTCAGCTATGAATACCATTTCGGGGAGGCATCCTCGGGCCTGGATTCTCCCGGAGAGGATCCACTTGTCAGCATCTGCGACTTTGTAATGCAATTGCAATAAAACAAACTACAAAATGGCCAGCCCAAGGACCAAGGCCAGCTCAGAGGGCCAAGAGATCAAGATGGCAGTTTGGAGTTTCTGCAAAGACAAACAAAAAGACTTAAAAGCTTAAAAAATTAATAAAGAAAAGGGCTCTAAAGTAGCAGAATAAATAAAAATTAAAAATAAAATAAAAATTCCAATTAGAGTTTTTATTAAAAGGATCAAGTATCTTGAGTAAGTATCTATCATAATGACCTGCCTCTGTGCCCCTGTGACCTGGGCAATTAAAACCCGGGTTCGAAGTTCACGGCGACTCACAAATTATACGCGCATTTAATGAAGTGTGCCCCGAAAACACACACACACACTTCACACATGGCGGCGACTACGTGCAGCCATTAAACAGCCACTGCTGCCGACATCCCACCTGGTCACCTGGTCACCTGACCACCTGGCCACTGTGCCCCCTACCCGGGTCAAAAGTCACGCGCCGTAAGGCCAAAAGGTCACTTAAACAAAATGAAATGAATAAATGCATGAGGCAGGCCACTCTACTTATGTTTCAGAGGTGGGAGAGGTGGGGGTGTGAGGTCAAGCCAGAGGGCAGTGGCCCATCGAATGGCCAACTAAACGGTTTGTAATGGAAGCCCGCCGTCGTCTTGGCCGTCTTGGCCGTCTTGGCTGCCAGGATTGAAACTTAATTGCAAAAATTTTAACAAACACTCGCAGCAATAACAATAATTTTAACTGACTGTTGTTGGGTGGTATGTAAGGGGGGGGTGGTGATGGTGGAGAGTCCTTTGGGTAGAAGAAGAATAGCTGGGTAAGTTGCCAGCCAGGAGGCAAAGATTTATGCTCCACAGATTGAAATTAGAAACGCTTTTCCTGCCGCACCGAGTGTCCTTGCTGTGGGCAGTAAACAAAAGGTCCTTCCTCTGTAAAGCTCTACACACACCCCCCCTCCCCCACCCCATCTAAATAGTCCTCGGAAGGACCTCTGGCCAGTGGCCATTAGTTGTTGCTGCTGCTGCTACTGCTGGTTCGCCTTGTGCCGCGGCGACAAGTGCACTTTATTAGCGCCTTTCATTTCCCTTTTCTCGGAGACCTTCCCCGTATCCTCATCCGTATCCTTGCCGTGCGTATGTGAAGTGTCCTCCAGCTGCCGCCTGCCTTCCTCCTCCCCCCTCTAACCTTTTCCTTGCGAGCCATTTGGTATAAATGCGTTCATTAAAGGCGTTCGCTCCAAAAACACGCTGCCCCATTATGTCAGCCAGAGTGGCAGCAGCGAACCTCTTCCATTTTGGCCACAAACTCTTTGCATTTAAGAAGAGTTGTTTATTATTTAGACTTGGTATATACATATTTAGTATGTATGTATATTATTTACCTTTTGAATCGTAAATAGAGCATAAATAGTATTAAACGGTGGAGAGTCTTTAATGCCCAACTAATGGCCCCAAATGAAGTGGACCCTCTGCTCCAACGCCTTGACCTGCTCGCTCCTGCTGCCTGCTGCTGCTATTTATTCTGACCGCAGTCACGTCCTGGCTAAGTACTCATGTGTGTGTCCAGCAACCATCTCTTCTCCGGCTCTTGGGTATGAGTGTGAGTGTGTTTGTGGCGACATTTGCCGTGGCATTTATAAAATTGTGCATAATTTAAGCTCAGCAGTTGCAGGTTGCCATTTAGGTTGCCTGAAAGTAATGCAAAGCAGGACAGACCAGGCCCGACTAGACCATAGAGGCCAGGGAGACCAGGGAGACCCAGCCAAAGTCAAAAGTAGGAACAGGAAAAAAAAAGCAAAACCATACCGAAGACCGCATGAATGATGGCTCCTGTGGAGCCTTTGCAAGGATTTCTACATGGATTCTACAGGGCGAGGGGCATGGGGCGAGGCAGTACGGAAAAGGAATGTGTAGGGACGTCGCCGACACTGCAACTTGAAAAGCATAATGAAGGATAATGAGTTCTTGATTAGTACAAAGTGGAAAATTGTGTATTTTTGCCCTGTCGCGCAGTGCGTATAAGCCATCAGATGCTAGCCCAGCCAGGGATAGAAACCCTCCTCGCCAACCCGTCGCCAATTAACTGTAATTAGGGTCGCCCCTCATTTCTGCGTGACCATCGCATCCGAGAACGACCCTCCAAGAAGCTACGAATTCTGATTCTGGCCGGATGGATGTCCAAGTGCAAGGACAACATACTGAGGACCAACTAGGCGTATACGTAATATGGATGGCCGGATGGAGGATGGCAAATAAAGAATCCAATAACCAAGCCCGAAAAATCAACACAATTTTCCAGCCGCACTTGCCATTTATGTCCTCGAGTTGTTCTTTTTATTTTTTGTAGCCATTTTTTGCCACTCACCGGGTTTGGTTTGGTGTGGTGTGGTGTGGTCTGGCTTTCAGTTACAATGATTTTTTGATGGCTGATAATGCACTGCAAGAAATTAGTAAGAAATTTGAAGTCTTTTAAGATTAAAGACAAGTTTTAGAGATTTCTGGATATGGTATACCAGATAACCAGATCCTTCAGGAATAGAATCTATATTATGCTTGTAGAGCATTAAACCATCTATCTGCTGGCTTTTATACATATTTTATTTTTTATATATTTCATATTTCAATTAGCCCTGTTTTTTTTAATAAATTACTTTTCTTGGTTGGATTTTTGTGCAAGTTCCGCACTCGCATGCAAATCGACGATTAATCAAAATACCACTTTCCCTCAATTGTTGCTGGGAAATTACATTTTTCGCGTTTTTCGCTGATCGCTCTGACTGAAATGACAAATTTGCACAATTGCCAGGCAGCCAGGCAGTGTCTGGCCTCAGCCTTCTCTGTGCCGCACCCATGTCGATGTGGCAGTCAAATTGCAAAAGTTAATGGAAATGAGTGAGTGAGTCTCTATAGTCTGTGGAGGGGAAGCCGCAGCAAAATACATGCAACAACTGCTACTGCCAGTGATGTTCTTCGTGAATTACAAAAAAAAAATAAAAATAAAAGTAATGGAAGACAATAAGTGCAGGATAATGTATGACAGGAGAAAGGATACAAGGCTACAAGGATACAATTTGTAGGCCTTTACAGACAGATAATCTATAATGTGTCAGAGTTGAATTTCATAATTATTTAAATCAATTTAGTGTCTTATTTATAGTTTTTTAATTAATTAAAGGCCAAAGAGATGGAAATAAGTGAAAATAATGAGCCAACAAGCAAGTAGTTGGCCCAAATTTCTTGCCACTTTCGTTGCTACCGTTACCTCCACCTCCCCCCTACAGCCACCTTTAAAAAAAAGAGGCCTTTCTGCAAGCCGTCAGAGGAGTACTGTTTCTGCTAGTGCTGCTACTGCTGCTCATTTTGACTTTTTAATAACATTAATTAAAAGTGTGCAAACTGAATGAACGCCCTGCCGGCCCAGCAAACAAAGGTAGCAGCTACGCGGAAGGCAAATGGGCCAAAAATGGAGTACAAAGCGGGCCAGAATAAGACCAGATGCACTGCCAAAAAATATGGAGACCTACAACCTTTTCCAGAGGTACTACCGATTGGGGATTTCGCGCCGTGCAGTCGAGTACAGAGGCCCCTTCCAAGGCCTTGGTCCAAAAAACTGAAGCAACCAAATATTAATGAATGGCCAAATAAAGCGACAAAAGCCCCGCCCAGTTTTGGCCAGTTGGGCTGCCGCCCCCTTTTGGTGGAACGCATAACCCTAACAGCCTGGCACGTCTTTCATGCCTTTTTCTTCCCTCCCCCCCTCGGTTATATAACGGTATAAATTTCTAGTTAATTAATCACCTTTCGCTTTGTTTATGGCTAATTTAATTAATTTTATGTCTTTCATTGTTTCTTTGGGAGCCGAGCGCCAAGAGCCTCCCCCCCCAATGCTCTGCGGATGCTCTGGAATTGGAATGGAATTGAAATCCGAATCGGAATTGTGCAGGTCAGAGGTTCTCGATTCAGAGAGAGAACGCGTTCCGGAAGGCCAAGCCAAAGTTAAATAATTATTCATTAGCTGTCCCAGAAGCCAAATCTGCACTTTTCAGTTGGAATGTTAAGGAAATGAGAACTTTTTAAATTAAATCTTAACTAGAAACTAGCAATAAATAATCCTTAGCTAGTAACTAATAACTAGAGGCTATGAAGAAAAATCTATAGAAACTAATAATTAGAAACTAGAAAATTGTAATTGGAATTGGGGAAGATATAGCCATTCCTGTGGGCCCTATAGGGGAAAACCCCATTTCCAAGGGATCCCATCAGGAAAAATGGACAAAAAATCTGAAAAATATTTTGTCTCAGGATTTTGATGCAGAATAGTGGAGAATCGATCTAGAAATCGTTTAAGGTACTCCGCTTGAGAATCGGATGAGAATTGGGGAATATATAGCCATTGCAGTGGGCCCTATAGGGGAAACCCCCATTTTCAAGGGCCCCACCAGGAAAAATGGACAAAAAATCATAAAAATATTTTATCTCAGGATTTTGATGCAGAATGATGGAGAATCGATCTAGAAATCGTTTAAGGTACTCCGCTTGAGAATCGGATAAGAATTGGGGAAGGTATAGCCATCGCAGTGAGCCCTATAGGGGAAACCCCCATTTTCAAGGGCCCCACCAGGAAAAATGGACAAAAAATCTGAAAAATATTTCGTCTCAGGATTTTGATGCAGAATGGTGGAGAATCGACCCAGAAATCGTTTAAGGTACTCCGCTTGAGAATCGGATGAAAATTGGGGAAGATAGTTGGTTGACCCTAATGAGAATATCATAATATAACTAAAATATAGAATCTGTACTAAGTTCCAACTTTCTGTCTTCAAAAACACGAATGTTGAGTCATTTCCGATCGTTCAGTTATATGGCAGCTATAGGATATAGTCGGCCGATCTCGGTTGTTCCGACTTATATTACAAAATTATAATACATACCCTCTTCAAGGGTATAAAAAGTAAGAATAAGAGACTAATAACTATAAAAAAGTAACGAAAAACTGGGAAACTAGAAACTATAACCTTGAAACTAGAAACTTGAACCTTCAAACTAGTAACTACAAATTAGTTATTATAGTTATATATGTAGTTAAAAGTAAACAGAAACATTAAATAGAAGAATGAAACTACTAGAGTTAGTAATAACTAGAATTATGCATAAAAAATCTATAAAATATTACCAATTATCCAGTAGACAATAATACGCCTGCAATTGAAATCTTCAATGCTTTCACTTTTTCTGAAAAGAGGGCTCTTCAGACTCTCTAGCTCTGTGATGGGACAAAAAATATTTGATGTTTATATATTATATTTAAATTTGCGCACTTGCAGCCAGTACTCCCCTGGCTGTCGATAGTGGAGCCTTGGACTCTGCCGCACAGTCACTTGCCATTCGAGAGTCAATGCCTGGTGTGGAGATGACTTGCAACTCGCCGGCAGCTTTCATCTTGGAGTGATGCCACGCTTTTTTCTTCGTAAACATACATGTATATATTTGTAGTGTAGTTCGTTGTGGGTTTAAACTTTAAGGCATAATATACAATACAATATATTAATAAATTAATTATTTATTTTAAATATTTTTATACACGAGCGGCGAGCATGAAAAGGCACTTTTCATAGCGGGAGTCTCGACCGACTCCGGCTCTGGTAGCTTCTTTGTTCTCTTCGCGCACCCCCCCCCTTCTTGGGACCCCTCCTCACTCACTTTCTCTTTATGGCAACTGGCAGGGGCAGGGGCGGGGGCGGGGAAAGGGCTCTATAGAGTGTATGGGGCATGTGGGGTATGTGGAATGATGGGATGAGTTTGGATGAGGCAGCAATAAATAGATTCAAGCGGCGCTGATGAGGTCGATGCTATAGTTAGTGACTAACTAGTGGTGACTAATGCTTGGCCTCCTCCTCCTCGTTGACCACGATCGGTTCGATCTGCTTGACCTCGGCGGGGGTCTCCTCCTCGTCCTCGGGCAGGACGCGGACCTCCACGCGGTTCGACGAGCTAACCGACTGCTCCTCCTCCCCATCCTCATGGTCCTCCGCATCTCCCGCGGCATGATCCTCGGCGTGTTCAGCGCCATGCTCGTCGGAGCGGCTCTGGGCCTTGTGGTTCTGGGGCAGACTCTGCTGGTTGGGCTGCTCGATGGCCGTAAGGATCGACTGGAGCAGACCCTGCGAGAGAATCTCCTCGTGGTTGGCATCTCCGGTGGCGGCTCCGGGGGCATTGTTCAGCGATCCGCCGAACTGCACCTGGAAGTTCTGGGTGGGCTGCTGGCCGTTCAGTTGGATGCTCTGCGACTTCTGGGCGGAGAGCACGTCCAGGCCGTCCAGGCCGGGCAGCTGCTGGGGATCCGTGCCGTCGGGCAGAGCAGCCACAGCGTTCTTCTGCGAGGCGTAGCCGGTGTGATCAAAGTCGATGTCGTTGCCGGAGGGTGGGGGTCCGTAGCTGTCGGCGGGTCCTGCCACCAGTTGCTGGGTGTGCTGCTCGGCCACCGGAATGCTCTGGGCGATGGCCTTGTAAGCTCCTGCCGAGGCGGCCGATATGCTGCCAAACTGCTGCTGGACCTGTTGCTGCTGCTGCTGCTGCTGCTGCACCTGGTAGCCAGTGCTGCTCACCAGATTCGGGCCATGGCCGCAGTCGTGGATAATGATGGGCTGGGGCTGTTGGGGCTGCTGCAGGGGCAGTTGGCTGAAGCGGGGCGCCTGCTGGGGCAGTGGCAGGCCCTGCGAGTGGTACTGCGAGGCACTGTAGCTGTTCTCGACGTGGTGGTGGTGCTGTTGCTGCTGCTGCTGCTGTTGGAAGAAGAGCGGTGGTGGCGGGGCGGCTGGCAGGTACTGCTGCGATGGTGGCGGCGGTGGTGGGGGTCCCAGAGGACGCACATTGGCCACTGGCGGAGGCGGCAGATACTGGGGCTCTGGCGGCGGCGGGGGGCCCGGAGGTCCGAACTGCTTCTGCTGGTGAACAAAGGCCGGGCCGGGCTGGGGGGCGGGCAGCTGTTGTTGAACAATCACCTGGGGCGGGGCTTGCTGCTGGGGCGGTGGTGGTGGCGGCTGGTATAGGGCCTGGGGAGCGGGCAGAGGGGCAGGCGGAGGGCCTGGCAGGGCAATCTCATTGGCTGCGGGCGGGATGTAGGTGCTCGGCTGCTGGGCGGGCTTAACTCCGAACAGATCCAGGTGCTGCACAGTGGCTCCAATGGATTCCAGCAGACCAGCGGGCACTGGGGGCCTGTAGGCCACTGGCTTGTTGGGCTGTCCGGCTCCGTGTTGCGGGAAGGGCTGAGGGTTGCCGGAGGGCGGGGGACCGTACTGAATGTTCACATTCGACTGCGAGTTGGAGTGGGCGTGGCTGCTGCTGCTGCTGCTGGTGAGAGCCGCAAACTGAGGGGGTGGTGGAGGAGGACCGTAGTTGCCGCCGGGAGGAGGTGGGGGCAAGTAGTTGCCGCCTGGCGGGGGTGGTGGAGGACCGTAGTTACCGCCGGGAGGCGGTGGTGGAGGTCCCGAGTGTCCGATGGTCTGGTACTTCTGGGCATGCACCGAGCCAGGAGCGTACGAGTCAGAGGGGGGCTTGGAGTAGGTGTCGTCCAGGGATCCAATGGCGACCTGTTGCAAGTTATTCCGCTTAGTATCTGGCTTGAGAAGCTTGGAGTAGAGGCTCGGGAGCACCGCATCCCAACTCACCTGAAGGGCTTCCGTCTCGATGGAGTTGGATCCTGGTCCGGTGATCACCTGGCCGCCGTCGCTGCCTCCCTGCAGGGCCACTGCCACGAGCTGCTCGTCCGAGAGTCCGTCCACAATGCTGCTGCCGCCGTTGCCCGAGGCACCGACCGAGCTGTACTGGGTTCCGAAGCCACCGCCATGTCCCTGGGCCACCTGGCTGTATCCTCCCTGGGTCTCGATGTGGTTCTGCTCCACGTAGGCGCCCACCGGAGCCGGGATCGGCTTCCAGCCGTCACAGGCCGTGTGGAAGGGCGCTTGGGAGCCGCTCACGCTGTGGGTGTGTCCGGAGGCGTCGATCTGGATCTGCACCTGCTTCACTGGTCCGGGTCCACTGGGTCCGGAGTGTCCGCCGCCGATACCGCCGCCGCCGCTCAGGATAATGGTGGTGGCCGGTGGTGGGGGTCCTGGCAGAGCCACTGGCAGTGGTGGAGGTCCGTAGTTGGGGGGTGGAGCGTCAAAGATCTGCTTGGGCGGCAGGTTCAGGGGTCCAGAGGCTGGGGGGCCGTACGAAGAGGCCGGCTGGTGGGCGGGCCGGAAGAGAGGAGCGGCATGGGGCGCTGGCAGGGACTGGGGCGGTGGTGGGGGTGGTCCATACTGCGGCTTAGGAGGTCCGTACTGCGGCGCCGGACGGTGGATGATCTTCTGCGGCGGCGGAGGTCCATACTGAGGAGCGGGCTGGGGCGGAGGTCCGTACTGCGGGGCGGGCTTTGGTGGCGGGGGTCCGTACTGGGGCGCCGGATGATGAGGAGGAGGAGGTCCGTACTGGGGTGCGGGCTGGGGAGGGGGTCCGTACTGTGGAGCTGGCTTCGGTGGCGGGGGTCCGTACTGGGGCGCCGGCTTGTGCTGGATGTGGGGCGGTCCGTAGAAGGGCTTGGGCACTCCGAAGTGGGTCTTGATCTGCTCGTGGAGACCACCACCTCCACCGCCGCCGCCTCCGCCGCTCAGGAAGTTGAGCTTCGGCGGGCCGTACTTAATGGCCGGCGGTCCGTACTCCCGGAAGGGTATCTGCTGTGGCACACCGTACTCCCGATGGGGCACGTGCTGCTGCTGAGGCGGTGGCCCGTACTGGGGGGCAGGCCTGGGCGGTGGGCCGTATGTGTCGAAGCCGGCCTCGCGGCGCTTCAGTTCCTTGCCGCTGAGCACCGCCTGGGCGGCACAACAGCAGAGGGCCAGGATAAGGGTCAGGCGTAGTGGCATCTGGAAGAGATTGGGCATCGGCGGTTAGGATAGGGTGGGGATAACGAAGGATGGGCCGCAGGATGTACACAAAAGCCACTGGGAGGGAAGCTGCCGCCAACTTGGAGTGGGTTTCCTAGATCACCTTTACTTGATGGCCACCATTACCCGGAAACTGACCTTCACTACTAAGAGGTGGGCTATCAGTGGCTCCAACTACGACCAGATAGTAGCATCAGTATCTCTGGCCTGTCAGGCCTCAACCCCTTTGACCGACCGCGTCGTCGTCCTCTCATCCAAAAAAAAGGTCTCTTGTCAGTCTGTCAGGGCTTGTCAGAGGTCCCGGGGTTAGAGATCAGAGAGGCCACAAGCCGGGAGACCGGCTGACAGAGCAGGTATCGTTTTCGGTCCAAGTATGTAACCATACCTGGCCCTCGACCTGGCCCTCTCTCTCAACATTAGCCAACTTGTGGCTTGTGGCCGAAAAATAATTAAAATAACCATCTATGAGATACATAATTGGTTTAATTTTCAAAATATATATCTCTGGCAAGGTTATTGCAACTAAAATTGGCAACAAAACTTGACAAATCTTCCAAAATAGACCCATTTAAACGTTAGAGTAATATACGCTCTAATTAAAACATAACCTAACCGACTGGCCAGTGAGTCAGTATCTCAGTCAGTTACCGGCTGTCATTACCACCAACTTTATCATCATCATCATAGTCATCATCATCATAGTCATCATCATCATCATCATCATCAATAATTCATCAGGCAACATCAGAGTCTTGGATTTCGTGCCAGAAAGTAAAACTTGAAAGCCAAAAATAGTGGACGTTTAATTGGTTTTATGTTTAACAACAAAATGCTGCAACATTTGGCCCAAAAAATTGTATCTGTATCTGTATCTGTAACTGTGCTTGGTGCTTTTGTGGTATCGTTCATCATCATCTTTTAAATTCCACGCACAACACGCGAATTAGCCATGGTAAGAGGGAGGTAATGCCAACCAGAAAAAAAAACAACCAAAAAACCAGATATATTCGCGGATCAACCGCAAAGGTGACGAAGCTGGAATGCCCTTAAAAAAAAAAATTACATAAGAAAGTGATTGGTAGAGTTTGCGTCAGCAAACGGAAAGTGAAGGTATCTCGAGATGAGTAGAAATTATGGCCAATTAGGGCTATTACTCTTTCTTTTTCCATTCTGAAAAAGAGTATCAAATATTATACCAACAATACTATACCTATACCCTTACATCACAGCACTAAGCTCATAATAGTATAAAATGTTGAAAAGAATAAAGCCACACATATAGAAGCCAGAAAACAATGTCTAGTGAGTGAGTGGTTGGCCAAAAAAAAATAAAACCATTGTACTAACTTGGTTATTATGTCATTTAGCCATAGCCTACCCCCTAGCCCCCCCCTCTATCTGGCCATCACTCTCTCTCTTGGTTGCATAATGGCGGCAATCAGCAATCTTTTGGAAATGGAAAAGTGCACCTCAATGGTCAGCGATGCGCATTGAATACCAGTTGCCCATAGCCGCCACAATGACCGCAGCTTAAATGTCATAAGCGGCCAAAAAAAACCAGCAGAAGCTGAAGACGAAGCTTTGGGTTTAAAAGAAGAAGAGTTACCCCAAAAAGGTAACTTTCACTTTGGACCGTAGAGATACTAGCGAGGTGCTGGTGGCTGGTGCTTCGCTGGCTGGGATGTGTAGGTGTCACAAATGTTGGCAGTGAAATTATGCTCAGCGTTATGGAGATGTAGATACATTATAAAAGAAATGGCAAACAATTAAAAGAGGTGATACTGGAAAGGGGCAGGGGCTGGGGGCGCCACCGCCTGCTGTTCCCATTGTCTGTGAAGCGTGTGAAGTGGACCCAGCCGACCCGCAGTATGTGGCCGGCACTTGCAACTCCTACAACTTCGAACTCAATAATCCCATTGAATTGTCTTCTTTTTACACAGTTACACTGTAAATAATTTTCTTAATTTTTTTAAGATTAAGCCTTAAGATCTTAGTATCTTTTAACCTCTAACCTCTTAACTTTTCTTTCAGCTTTTTGTTCACAAACAGTGGTAGCTGTTTTAATTCTGATGATAAGACTTCTTCATTTTTTTTAATATTTTTTTTTTTGCAGTGCTTTTGCATTAGTTTCTTGCCTCAATTAGTTGCAAGTCACCAAGTCAGTTGGTCGCATATGTGGGCCTACAAAAAAACACAACCTACAACCTAAACAAATGCCATCTTTTAATGTCAACCTGAGGCGATGATGGTCACAGTTCAGTTGGTCGGAAGGCCACTTTCTTTCGTTGTCTAGCTGGCTGCCTGTTTGGCTCTCGTTCGTTTGTTCGATTTCTGCTCATTAGCATAGGCCACAAATTTTCGGTTATTGATGCTAAACAATTGACAACAACGACGACCAGGCCGGGCCGGGCCAGGCCAGGCCAGGCCGAGTGAGACACAGACAGCAAAACAAATGAACAGCAGCCCCAACCAGACGAAAAAAAAAACAAATAAATAAACATTTGGCCGGCAAAACTTTCACTCTCGCTGAGAAAACGTAAAATTTAGTTCCAAGATGAACAACAACAACAACAACATGATGTTTGGGTGTTTCAGGAAATGGTCGGCAAAGGGTTGGGTTGCTACTTGGACTCGTGTTTCTCTGGAAGTTTTCCGGCCACAACAGCCTGTGTGCTGCCTGTGTGCCCCCCAAAAAGTCGAGAATCGTAATCTGCGTTAATTAAATTTTATCCCCTTTTGCCCTCTAGCCCCCCCCTAGCCTCCTGGCCTGGCAAATGTGAATGCGAAATTATTTATGAATCAATTTCGATAATGAATAAATTATGTCGGGAGACACATCCTGGGCCAAGGCCTGGGCCAAATGAATAATCTGGCCCAGGATTCGGCATCAATTTTCATTTTCATTCCAGTGTCCTGGAGGCCTGTGAGGCAACCAACCCTCATCAATTAGCAGAGGTCGCCGAGGCAAGGTCACCGGCGCAGGCCCAAAGGTCTTAGTCTTAGACTAGACCCCCAAGTATCCCCCCCTCCAAGTATTTTTTTTGTGTAATCCTTGTTTGGCTTTTTGTTTCGCTGGGAATGGACTTGATTTTACCATGCCGGGTGGTTGCTGGTTATCGTGGGATTATCCTCGACACGATGTGCACTTTAAAAAAAATTTATGAGATTGCGCTGGTTCGTTATTATTCCACTTCACAGTAAAGGACCCGAAGGGGGGCGAATGGTGCAAGAAGAAAAAAAAAATGCCAAAAAAAAAAATAAATAACAGCACCCGCGGTTTAGATCGCACGGGATCGGTGGTCGGGAATAATGGATATATTCGAACAAGATCGAATCTTGTGGGATCTTGTGGCGCTTGCGTGCGCCGCTTGTCACTCGCGAGTTGAAAATGCTGCGGCTGAGATGATAACGCCAGCTCATATAGGTAATAGCCGGGGCCATCGTCAGCGTCAGCGCTGGCGTCGCAGCTGCTGCGCAAGTGGCAGTAGCGACGCGGCGCAGTCGCAGTCGCAGCGCTGTCTTGGCTCTCGAACCAACAACAACAACAATAAAGCCCAGAGATCCAACAACAAAAACAACACCCCAATCCGAATCCGAAAACCGAAACCGAAAGTGAAGAAATTTCGTAAATAAAAAAAAAAAACAACAACAAAAACAAAGCAAGGTGCTCGAAACCGAAAAGGGACAGTCAGCGTATCCGTGAGATACACAGAGCTATAGAGATACCTGAGCTACAGAGATGCAGAGAGATGTTTTCCCTCTCGGCGATGACTAGTTTTGCAACATTTTCACATCGACACCGGGTCGAAGATACAATTTTTGGCAACCGAGAGTCTCGGATGCGAGAGTCTTGGCCATTCGGAGGTGAAGATCCTTGGGTCGAAGCCTTGGCCGAAAGCTTCCTCATGGCGCAACCCAGGAAACGGCCATGAGTTGCAACTTCGGGCGGCAAGTCGGGGGCTTACCAGACGCTAATGGCTTTTCAAAGTTAGTTTCAAGAGAAGCTTAGTTCATAGATCATAGAGGTCTAGCGCCTTACCCCAGCGTAAGGTTCTCCCCTCCGAGAGTTTTAATAGTCCTGCTCCTGCTCCTGCTCGTGCTCCTGCTGGGAGTAAAACAATGTCAACAAAACACTTGCCACAATGTCCGATATTGCCTTTTGTTTCTGTTCCCCCTGCTCCTCTCGGCAAGTGCCACTTCCCATACACTTGCCACCGCTGCAACGGTGCCCTCCCCCCCAGTACCAAAGTTGAGTCATAAAAGTGCTTCGACTCTCGACTGGTTGAAGAAGTTGCAGGCCGCTTGAGAGATCAAGTTTTGGCTGGGGGGGGGGATTGAGGAGGGAACAGACTTAAGGGGCAGAGACTTGGCGGTAGATGGGCTGCTGCGGCCTTCGCGTGACGTGATTTCGCTTTCATTTGCATTTCTTGGGACACTCTTTTCTCTTCAGCTCTGACTCTGACTCTGTCTTTGGCTTTGACTTTGGCTCTTGCCTTGACAGCATCAGCATCATCATCATCATCATCATCATCATGATCATCTTCATGGTTATCTCAAGACTCTCCAACAGATATACTTGCAAGTAGGTTCCTTTTTAAAAATTAAAGCATTTCTTCCCCACCTTGCCACCTTCTCAGGCCAGACTGACTGTGGCTGTGACCCCCTTGCCTCCTGGCCAGGTGACTTCCCAGTGGCTGGCTGTTGCCGCCGCATTTGGACTTCCTGCTGTTGCATCTTGCGGGTGCCACTCGGCCAGCATGTGACCGACCGACCAACCAGTTGCAACAGCAGGCAGCCTGCAACTTACGTGGCAATATCTGTTGGCGGCATTTAAAATATCTCCATACAGATACATCTCCCAGATACATATATATCTGAGAGATTGTAGGCTGTAGGTATGATGCTTAACAAGCCAACTCTATAGGGTATTTTATAAATCGATTCCAAGACCCAAAAAGACCAGCTTTCCTTAAACCTTTTTTACTTTTTTTGTTTTCTGGCTGCTCGCAATTATTTGCGCTTTTACTTCCTCGAGTCTCGTGTTGAAGGCTACTTTCGTTTCGAGATCCACAAATGGGTGCTTCGGAAAGGGCCCTCCAGTCCGATGGGCGATAAAGTCACAAAACTGGAATGCACTTGCATTTGGTCCCCCTCCTCCTGGCAACTCATTTTGGAGATCAATCCGAAGAGTCCAATCTCTAAATTTGATGAAATAATCTTTCACAAGTCCAAAGCCCACACCATATTATGCCCCATTTGCAGACTCTTTTAAAGGAGATAATTTTTTTAATAAATAAACTTTCATTCCAAAACGAAATGAAAGCCAATTTCGGGGCTGGGCTGGGATGTGATAATTGCTGGCCTTGTGGCAGAACTATATCATTGATAAAACCGATAATCCCCCAATAACACCAAATCACCCACAAGCCAAGATCCAGAGCCAAGATCGTTAAAGGCCCAAAGATCCGCGGCCCAAAGTCACAGCCACGCACCAAAACAATTGAGAAAATATTCAAAGAAGTGAAATTGCATTCCAATGTCATGAGACGATGCCGTCTGAGGCTGTATATATATATATATACGATATAATATATGTCTGAGCTGTTGTTTTTGGACCTGCTGGTGATGTGCCTATGCCTCGCCCACATTTCGCCTCTGTTTCGGTTTCGGTTTCATTTTCTCAGGGCCCTGTGCGCAGGGGGGCGTGGCCCTTGGCTTCAGGTGTAGCAGTCGCACACAATTATGCGGGTCCAGTTCCCGAAATTCCCCCCTCTAGCCACCCAGCTCCCAGTCACCAGCAGTACCCTTGCCCATTCATCGCCTCATTCCAGGGCCCGCGGCGTCTCCACATCACCGCCGCTTTATGTCATGAGGCAGTTATTACGCAATCCGCTTTCTTTTTGCCGTTTTTCATTCTCCCGAAGACAGTAGTGGTACAGTGGGCCTCGCAATTATGAATCTTAATTAACACATTAGGGGCTATTGCTTACTTAGTTTGGTCTTGATGGAGGAGATCTTTTTGAAAAGCAAGTGAAGGAATTATGGCAGAGGGGTCCCGGTACTTCTTAAACATTGCTTCCTTTCACAAGGTCTTTGAATTCTATACTATACCATCCGATATATTTTATACCATAACATTATCCATCTCCTCTTTCATATATTATAATACTATGTACAATGTACCAATATAATAATATCTATCTATTATAATACTATCCAGTTACTAATATTCTATTCATCTTTTATAAAACTATCCATCTTCTATAATCAATATATTTATAGCTACTCTATATTTACTCTACTCTACTCTACTCTATATAGCTATTCTCTTATAGCTACTATATAGCATTAGCTACTCCATTATCTACCGTAATGCTATCCATCTTTATATTTCTACCAATATCACTATTTATCTAGTATTATTCTAACCTTCTACCCTTTTCTCTACCATCCCCTATAATTCATCCATATTAAAATACTATCCATCCATTGACCACTATAATACTATCCATTATCTACTCTATTATATACCGTAATACTATCCACCTTTTATACTATCTACTATAATACTACCTATCTTTTATAATACCATCCACCTTCTCTATTATCAACCCTAATACCATAACATTTAATTCATTATCTTCTATAATGCTACCCATCTACTAAATATCCATTATCCACTATAATACTATCCAATTACTATATGACCTACCATATTATCTATTATAATACTATCTCCTAAGTATATAAGTATGATATCTTCTATAAATCCACCCATTTCAGACACTCATGTTCCCCACTGTGCTCTGTCTACCATGACACTTGCCCAGTTGCCCCAGTATCTCCGATGGGAGATATATCTCTACTGAAGTATCTGAGTATCTGGGATTCTCGGCATCTCAGCATCCGCTTCTTGAGGGCGAGATCTGTCGGTCGGTCGGTCTGTCGGTCGGGGCCGGTGAGAAAGATACAAATGGAGACCTAAGCGATTTGCAATTTGTCATGCCGCGTGCCGTGCTCCAAAAAGCATTGATTGCCAGGCACAATTGCCATTTCCATTTCCAATTCCATACCATTGCCGCGCTTTCACATCCCAAAGTAAAGCTAAACCCAAACCCCAGGCCCCAGACCCCAAGACCCAGACCCACGCCCAGGGCTCTGTTTATTTCTGTTGCTGCGGCTGTTAGTTTTGTGACCGAGTCTCGCAATTCGCTTTAATTAATGCTAATTAAATGCGCTTATCGCCGCGCGACGGCTTATCAGCGAGGCCCCAGCCCTGGAACTCTAGCTCCGATTTGGGTTCGGAATCGGGTTTTGGCTCCCACCCACCCCTCTGCCGAGGCACTCCAACTCCCCAGCCATTCCATTTTCCGCATTACATTCGAACGCTTAATTTTATGTTAATCAGGTCCTCTTTCTTTTGGCTCCTAGCTCCTGGCTCCTGACTTCCTTCCTTGTACATATTTTTCCATCCGTTTGCCAGGACTAATGCAAATGAGTCTTGTCTTGGGTCTTGTCTACTCCTAGCTCTCATTTCTAGCACTTCCAATTCCATTTCCACATCCACTTCCACTTCCATTCATAACCGTACTTATGACAATCAAAAACGCAATGCAGAATAGAAAATTCATAAATATGTTTATGCCACCCGGCCACCCTGGCACCCTGGCAGTTGGCTTCCTAAGCGAGATGAGTTTGAAAAGTACTATACCCAGTACTATCACCAGTACTATAACCTACTGATCCACCCCTTCAAGGACGTGAGAGAGTCGCATAGTTAACGCATCCTCGCCAAACATTTTCCACATAAATATCTCGTTGATTAACTTTGAATTTCCGGGCTCTAAGCTCTAAGCTCTGGAGTGTGGAGTGTGTGTTGGGTCTGGTGTGTTGGTGCTGTCAACATTTGCCATTTCAATTTTGGCGCACGCATCTCATTTGCATTCCCAATAATGCCGCTGGAAGGAGGCAACTGGCAACCGGCAACCGGCAGCCGGCAACCGGGGCCTCATTATGACACTTGAGTTTGTCCTTAGACCTCCAAGGCTTAGTTCCAAAGGGCCTTAGTTCCCAAGCCACCCCACCCACCAGCTAGAAAAACTCATCAGCTCTAAGACCTCTTCTTAAAGTTTCTACTCAGATAGATAGTTGGATTAAATCAAAAGATATATCTTTATATAGATCGGATAGCTCATATAGATCTTTATAGCCATGATAGCTGATGGTTTATTGCACTTTTTCCCATGCCCATGCTTTTGCCAGACGGGCCATAAATTTCCATATTAATCGCCCCAAAGGTGTTAAACGCGGAAGCGCAACGGAAACCTTCAAAATAAACCTTCCCAGACCTCAAAATCAAAACGCAAAAAACCCAAAACGAGACGAGC